AGCAGCCCTGCCTGTGCTATTCCACTGGCACTGGGGACACTAAGTTGGCAGACCCTGCCTTAGGGGACAACATCTTCATGTTCCCCAACTCTCAGAGCTCCGGCAACAGCTAATCTAAAGATTAATCTTATCCTGTGCAGATAAGGAGATGTAGGAGCCACTGTACCTTTCCCGAGGGCTCATTAGTCCCCTGACTGCAGCTCCAGCCCCACCTGTGTCCACTGGACAGGACAGCTGGACTCCAACAGACACTTGCAGTTCAGTGTGTCCAGATCTCTTCTCCTCTACACCTGCTCTCTCTGCTGCCTCTTATTTTAGCTCAAGATGACACCACTATCCCCATGGTCCAGGCTAGAACCCTACTAAGCCACACTCCACAGTCAAGAGCTTTTCATCTCCTGGCTCAGGCCTCTTCAGTTTTCAGGATCCAGCTCAAATGCCACCTCGTCTTCAAAGGGAAGTGGCTTAGTCATCTCTCTGCTTGGCTCCTGAGCCGCTTTACCCCTGCCTCTGGGAGAGCCCCTCCTGTCTCCTCCGATTGCATTTACACGTCAGCCTCTCCTACGAAGGGTGAGGACCTCTAGGGCAGGGGCCTGTCCTCACTCATTTCACCATCCTCTTGAATTCCTGCCGGGGGTTACGTTCTGGCAGAGTGAACTGCTTCCAAGGGGAGAGGCCTGTGTTCTGAGCTCTACGCACCTGCTGCAGGGGTCAGGTGTCTTCCTTACGGAGGGGACACCACCTGGGGCTGAACCCTCCATTTCCCAGGAGACAGGCTGTGCAGGAGAGCTCGGTGGGGTTGGGCTTCCCAGCCACAGATCCTCTCCGTTCTCTCCCTGTTACCTCCACATTTTCTATAAATATTTCAAGACTGCAAGTTACCACGGAGGCTTATAAAAGATGCATTTTCTTCCCCCTCTCTTAGGGTTAAGCAACATCATCGGCATCATAGTTTATATATCGGCCAACGCTGGGGACCCCGGGCAGCGTGACTCCAAAAAGAGCTACTCGTATGGCTGGTCCTTCTACTTCGGAGCCTTCTCCTTCATCATCGCCGAGATCGTGGGCGTGGTCGCCGTGCACATCTACATAGAGAAGCACCAGCAGCTGCGCGCCAGGTCCCACTCGGAGCTCCTGAAGAAGTCCACTTTTGCTCGCCTGCCACCCTACAGGTACAGATTCCGGCGGCGGTCCAGCTCCCGCTCCACGGAGCCCCGGTCCCGGGACCTGTCCCCCATCAGCAAAGGCTTCCACGCCATCCCCTCCACCGACATCTCGATGTTCACCCTCTCCCGGGACCCCTCCAAGATCACCATGGGGACCCTCCTCAACTCCGACCGGGACCACGCGTTCCTCCAGTTCCACAATTCCACGCCCAAAGACTTCCAGGAGGCGCTGCACAACGACCTGGCCAGCAGGCGCACCACGCCCGTCTGACCGCCCCCGCCCGCCGGCGCAGCCCACCCAGTGCCCGCAGCTGTCTCGGAGGTTGCACGGCGCGGTCCTCGTGATGGTATTAATCTTTACAAAGAGTGAAACCAGGTGGACCAGCCCCGTTCCACACTCTGCCCCTCTCCTCCAGGCTCTAACCCTCTGTGCCCCCGGCTCCGAGCCCGCCCCGTGACGCCATTCCTCTGCGTGTCTGTGCCGGGTGTCTCCCCTGTTCCCTCTTCCCTGGAAGGACCCCTCATGCTTCCTCCTTGAAAGAAGGTTTCACTCAAAGTCACAGCGGGTGGCTTGGGAGGTCCCCACATATCCAGGCGTGCGCCCCGTTGTCCCTACTGTCCACTCACACAATCCTCAGGACACCGCCGCCCAGGTGGCCCTGGAGGAGGCATTCACCTTTCCGTGTTAGAAACACGTGACCAGAAATCAAAGCTGCCGGAGCCCCGGAGCAGCTCATGTAACAAGCACTCATGTGATTAAAGGTCTTGCCCGTCACCAACCGAGCCAAGGCGTTTTGTTGCTTCTGGGTTCTCCCTGCGCAAACTCACGCCCCGCGCAGAGCTGGAGCCGAGCTCGGCTCATCCGCACTCTGGCCAATGGGGAGGGCCCCCGCCACCTCCCGAGGCCGACAAGGTGCTCCTCCCGATGTCAGAGCTGGTGTGTCCCCACCAAACCCCGGGGCCAGCTGGGGGCACCACGCGTTCAAAAGCCTGGCTCTCGCACCCGGTAGCTCTGGGCTCTGGGGCGAGCCCACTAACCTTCAAGCCTCAGCCTCTTCGCCTTTAAACTGGAGCCTGGTGCAGCGCTCTCCTCCACGGCTGTGAGGCCTAAATGGGACCCACAGCGGAGATTAGCACGTTGTAAATCCCACATCTGTGTGTGTGCATATTCACACGCAGTGCATTTTGGGTGGATTCTAGAGAATGAGCTTTGCATCAGTCTGCTCGGGCTGCAGGAACAAAGTCCCACAGACTGTGTGGCTGTGACAAGAGACAATTCTTTCTCACGGCTCTGAAGGCTGCACATCAAGATCGGGGTGCTGGCCGACTGGGCTCTTGTCGAGGGCCCTCTCCTGGCTTGCGATGGCCCCTTTCTCTGTGTCCTCAGATGGCAGAGACGGTGAGTTCAAACTCTCTCTCCCTCTTTTTACAAAGCCACTAATCCCATCACAAGGGCTGCACCCTCGAGACTTCATCTAACCCTAATTACCCCCCAAAAGCCCCATCTCCAAATATCATCGCATTGAGGGTTAGGGCTTCAACGTATGGATTTGGGGATGGCGGACACAATTCAGTCCATAGCAAGCAGGACTGCGGGAAGATAAAGCCAATGGAGCTAGTCTGCATTGTGGGGAGCGGGGAGCCTTGCCCAGGCTCAGAGGGTGTTGGGGGTGAAAGTGAAAAGACTTTTGAATATGTTGAACGTTTGATGCCACCTCCACCAACACTGACTTCCTGGTGCTTTTTGGCAAACCTCCC